TATTTATTATACTTAATTTTGAACGAACAACAACCTTGTTAATATGTTAACATTGCTACACTAGGCAATAGTATATTATATACAAATTACCAGAAATTATTTTTGTAAAAGAAAATTATTTTTTTAAATAATTAGCTGCGTAATGTGGAATAATAGTGTCAATCACGCGGAAACGTAATTGAGAACAGACTGTAAGTTCAAATCAATACTTGAAACTAGTTTCAACTGAGTAAAACTTAAAACGCGTTCTATAATAAGATCGATACTTAAGATTTGATCTGCACTTAAAACTAGTTTCAGGCAATCAGAGTTCAACCGACACTTGAGACGTCTTTTAAAATACGGGCCTAAGAAGTTGACAAAAATATACCTACAACACACTACCACAACCCGTCTACACAACACGTTAATAGAATACTATCACCTAATCGCTGTTAAATACAGGTGTTTTCGCATACCAAAGTGCTTACTATCATTCACAAATTCACAATTTCAAATAGCTTAGTATTACTAAGTGACAAGGTACACATTGGAATGAGAAAATTATTTGTTGTAGTCTGTTGTCGCATTTTTCGCCCACGCCCAAATGGCGAGTCGTCAACAATTTATACAAAATCAAGGATTTGTGCCAGTTTGCCTCACAGTGCCTCTATTTATGGACACTTAAAAATTAAACCATTCACGGTATAAATATTGGCCATAGGACTTCCATTATGGTCGAATAAACGAGACACTGTTTCTATATGCATATTTAAGTTTAAAATTAAAATACCTAATAAGTTAATCTGTACATCTTTTTAATTTTAGATATGGCTAAGATTTTTGTAGTCTTTTAAAGCTTTATTAAAGATGCGTATAGTATTGATTCTTGTACGAAGAATAAATGGGCATATAAATACAACTGATCTTCACATTATTAAGTATGTCGTTAATTAGTTTCCCATTCAAAAGAACTTTCTTTAATGAATACGCCAGTAAATAACGATATTCATTTTTATTTGACGTATTTAAGTCGAATAACGGTACAGTATCGGTTTCGTTCCATCATTCGGCAGATTACCATCGTACGTTTTGCTGTGAACATGAAATCGTCACAAGCGTTTATAAAATTTTGCTAAAGAGGGAAGTGGATATATTATATTTCCACATCCTCCAATTTTCTTCTTATTAATTTCCTTCCGGACTTCCCGAGTGTCATAACTCGGTGTGTTCGTAGGTCACTGCTGTTGATCCTGGTGTACAAGAGTTAGAGTGGTGGGCGTGGGGGAGGGTTGAGTACCATAAAAAAAGTTTATAAATAAAGGAAATATCAAATAGCCAACATTATTTAGCGAATGATGTAGATGCGTACTCAGATAGCTAATCAAACTCTCTTATGCAAACTTATATAATTTTATGAGCAACAACTATTGTGAATTTATTATTGCCTATAGAGACAATACAGAAATGCCATCGAACTATTTCAAAGCCTGCTGTGTTGACACACCATATTTTGCACGATTAAATGCTAACTGATGTTATGGGTCGAGTCCATAAAGTGTTGGAAAGTTCTAAAAACAGCCCAATCAAACGATAAAACAAGCAAAAATGAAGAGATGTGTATAATAATGGAAAAATCGTTTTAAGCAAACAACGGCTTGGTGACGGCATTTAGATAAGACTGGAATGCGAATTTTGATTAGAAACGAGAGCAGCCCAGCTTTTATCGCATACTCACATAGATAACTTTAAACATGCGTGATTTTAAACACATTTTCATTATTATAACGATAAAGTACATAACAATGGATTTTTATTCGATTTTGTAACATGTTTGTCTACTTTTTTAACACATTCAATTTGGAATTTAAGAAAAATGTGAGTGTCAAAATGAATTTCTTTATCATATTTAGTTTAGAATTAGAATAGGTAAATGTGCTATAGGTAAAGCTGGTGGCAGTAGCGGGCAACGTCGACGCACGTCTGCGTGTATAAAATTGCCAAGGACACATTTATCTGAGGGGAATGCGTAGAATAAACAATGTTCCACGCTATTTGGCGACCGTTCGCCGCCACGCGCCACACCCTACCTCTAACAAATGTGTTGTAACTTCTCTAATAACACAGAAGAATAACGTAACGTCTAATTAATTGAAATAGATCAAATAGGGCTATTTAAAACGCACTCGATTAAAATCAAGCAACGTTGTAAAATGCCCCTGCCCCTTAAACGTTACGCATGAAGTATCTTAGAACTTGTGCAGTGTGTGGGAAGTACACATACTTAAGTTACACAATCTTGTAAAAATACATTCCTTAAGCACGATCGATATTAAAATAAGTTCTTATATGGCAACATTCTTGGACATCTATTTTGGTCATTTATTTATTTATCGTATGCATGCGCATACCCCATGTGATAGTTTATAGTTACTCAAACAATGTTCAACATGTATAGAATAATATTGTATTATTCAATTAACTAACTGAGGCATCACACCACAAGCTTTACGACCACAGCAGATTGCATTAAAACATTCCAACGCATCCTTGTATATTCCACATACAATATGCCCGCACCTAGTCAAATGAGGATAGATATCTAATGCAGATTTCACTAGCAACATAGAATTATGCATTAACGATCAACGGAACGTAACACAGGAATGCAACAATGTACTTGGCTTAGTGAAACTGTATTCAACCGATACAATTAAAGTTATAAACACTGGCGAACATTAGTTCCCATTCGCTTGTTAATCGACACTATCATTGTCTTTCCCGCTTCCTTGCTTAGCGACACAATGAATAGTTTTTTTTCCTATTCACAAGTTGTCGAACGCTTTTATGTAGTTTACTTTTTGCTTCAACAATTGACGCTGCCATATCACATTTGTCTTAAGATCTGCGAAAATTTAAGAAAATACTTCTTCACACGCAACAACTCGTTACGGAAGCATCTGAGAAGCTCCTTATTGCCGTAGACGTATAGTTACAGAATCCAATGACACCATAAAGATATATATCTCTTTAAAATAGCCTTGTATATCGAAATTCAAGAGAAAATATCTTATTATAAGCAACTATAATGTCTGCCTATAGGTCTAAACTGACAACATTCTTGTCGGGAGAAAATAAGTGCAGTCAGTCTAAAATAGTGACGCAAAGATGTACTTCGTACTAGTACATTTAGGTTCCCTATAAGGTTAATAGCGTCGTATGTGCCAGAGACGTGGCTGGGTTATTTTTAGCATTAATAAATTGGCTTAGTGGCTCGGTTTATTGTGCGCGCGGTTTGTACAAGTAGATGTCGACGGCGAAGTTATATGCGCGATACCTTTGCTTCACACACCAAATTGTAGGTCAATTCTTACTGGCATGTTTACTACCTACAACTAGCATTTTTAGCGAAAAAGCACTAAGTAGGTAATATTCCGTTGAGTCAACATTCAACTGTAGCGAATTTATCTGATATCTATTATGAGGCGCAATCAATTTGACTTTTGTTATCGTAACTTTTGACTGCCTTAGAATGTCACTGTATGGTTTGAATTTAGTAAACACATCTTAAATGCTGTAATGCCGAGTGCATGGAATTCAGTTTGCCAAAAGGTTCAATAAAAATACCACTTTATGTTTCCTGTGTCAGCGGCGAATTTTATTGTGGTGTCAATGTACCGGGACCAGATTCTCATGTGCATTCTTGACTTAATGCAATTTAATCCACATTCTCATTTCATTTAATATTTTCAGCCTGAATTCACGATTAAAATTTTTCAACTTTTTAAAAATCACAATTTGATGTCTCAAATGTTAAATTTAAAAAATGTCCAACAATGTAAGCAAAACTGAAGGACGTCCTTGTCGACTTGAATGATTAAACGATGAAATTTGCATTGATTATGCATTTGCCTTAAGGTTGGCTTGCAACTAAAAGTCTTTTAACAACATACCATTATCCATCTGCAGAGCATTTAACGGTATCGAGTTTTTTTTTTTCATTTATAATATACTTTATGGCGAATCTTATTTGCCCGGTACTATTAGTTCGAAGAGGTAGCCTTTTAGGATGTCTTGTTTTCTTATGAAACACGCATCACTACCGCTAATAGTCTCGCCATTTAACATTACTGAAGTGATAATTGACCGGTTTTAACTGTAACCATGCATTTCGAGTGCAGGTGTAAAGTTTTTAAGGCAAACTTTTTGAAACAATGGTGCAGGTGTCTGTTTGACTATGGTAAATAGATACGTCTAGAGACATGATCGGTATTTAATAGGGATGTGTTGTGCAGCACCTGCAGCTTGTGAAGTGGTGAAGGAGGGTGTGCGGAGACGACGGTGCGGCGGAGGGGAGGGGGGGTGCGCCGCTTTAGAAAGGCGCGACCATCGCCGCAGGCCCGGGCCGCATTCTACGGCCTGTCATTCACACCGCGCAACTTGCCTATGCATTGCATTCCATCTCCCACCGCGTTCTCCACGTATTGGCACCATAGATATACAAAACCACCGACCGCACCATCATCTTGACAACATGCTACACTCATACTTAAAGCATTAACGCTTCATCGAATTATTTCTGCGTCAGATCAGCTACCAACATTGCTATGAACCAGTTCCGTGGCCTCATTAACCATGCTCCACTCCCACCGCTCACCAAATACGAAAACAAGACCACAGTACACATTCCACAGGATAACAAATGATAACCATAATTTGTGTTTAGCTCATTTGTTGTCACTAAATTGTGGAATGTCGTGTGAAATCGAGGTTGACGCACATTTTTGCCACTAGAGAGCAGCAGTATCACGACGACAGAACAGTTTGTTTTTCACGATTGATTCTATTTAAGAGCAGTGTTTATCACTTGTAACTTCACCACAACAGTTTGTTTTATTGACACTCCCGATATGTATACCCACACCAGCTAAATTCAAACAGAAAACAACAGAAATCGCATTGGAATGTAAAGTTTTGACATGGGGCTCTTACGGGTTAACACTTCTCTTTGGAAAACTTACCTGTCTCGCGGGTCGATCCACGTCGTTTTTCTACTGTTGTGGTCGATGAAATACAATTTTCCGTCAAAGTCCCTCGCATAATCCCATCCGTCGGGCAAGGGTATCTCACCGTTTCGTCTCCTTGGCATATTTCACTGATTAAATCCATTCAAACGAGTAACGAAGCACACTCGCGAACTAGCTACACGGCCATGTTGAATACCTCATTACGAGGTGTGACGTCACGCGGGATCGGCCAATAGCGGCGAAGGGCCCCCACGATGGAATGCGGCGCGTACGCGAGCGCGAACACACGAATCGGTTCCGTACGTCACTCTTTCAATTGCAACGATACACGCGACCGCACCACGCGACCCCGCGTCGCCGACTGAACCCCGCCGACTCGCAGCCACGTTATCACCGCACATGATAATATTCACTACCAGTACCTACTGTTTAAATGCATTCCTCAACCACCTTATGTTTACATTACATAGTCTACTAGTAGCGACTGACTGATGCTATGTACGGTGTGGAGACTGTGTACCTGGCAATGTAATCAAAAAGTAAGTAGGTAGGTACATACCCATTCAATCTATTTACGATTCCGCTGTATAAATATGTATAGACGGGCGTGTACCTATACGTATATATCGCATTCCACAGCGTATGTATGTATATACGAGCGTACATACAAATTACTGATAAGTACCTAGTAAGTACGTATGTTCATGTGCAGTTACTATAACAATGTTAGTTATAATATTATATTTAAAGTACCTACGTGTGGAGCACATTGTCTTCACATATAAAATTATAATCATGTGCAGTTTTAAGTAACTTAGTACTAATAAAGCTTCATTATTTAAAGCTGTAAAAGATCGCCGTGAGCGATAACACTGCCGATTGTTACGACTACATACCTATTGGCTATTTGTAACTCATCTTTTATTATATGTTAAGTGTAAACAATAAAGATCACAGAAACACATTTATTTTCCTGGGTAGGAATCGAACCCAGTCTCAGTTGTCAGGCTTGACTTATGACTAGACCAAAAGGCCCGTTTTATAAGATAAGCAAAACAAGAATATAGGTAAATCAAGAATATAGAAATATATATATTTACGATTTTATCTATTTTCATTTTGTACAATAATGGACATACATGAACATATTTAGAGGAAAGCAACAAAGTTAGATTACCAAAACAAAGCTTTGTTTTATGTTCATTATACTTTTATTAAAGTAGGCTTAGTTAAATCAACATTTTAAAATAAAGAAACTTAAAACCTGAACTTAAAGCTTGAGACAAAACCTGGATTCATCATTGAATAATACTCTTCCCAGTTGTTGTCATTCCAATTACGGTGAGAGCGAGCGAATTTATTCCGAGCTATACGATGGCCTGTGGTAAGAAGAGGCCCTATGGCAGGTACGAAGCCGCTATTCCAGCGGATTTGACTTCTTTTTATGGTTTTAGAGCTACCTGTCACATCTCGAACTTCCTGGAGCCTAGCTCTGATCTCAGAAGAGGTTCAAGTACAATTTCTTAACACGCTGCTTACAATAAACCTGTCGTCCCTAGCTGTGGTTACTTTTTTCTACCTTGCCCTCTGCGTCTCGTATACTCTCCTGTCTGACGGTATCATATCATATTGCGAAAAATTACAGACTTGGAAACTCGCAGCTTTTGAGTCACTTTATTGTAGGTGTAACCGTGTTCGATTAAAGTTACAGCTTTAGACACTTGAGATAAGCTAAGATCTGGCATTATCACTTCAAGTTTTTAAGTGGTCTGTGATTAACACCACGAGATGAATTTTTGGTAAAAAATAAGAATAATCATGAAAATGTCAAATACAACAAATATCTGTTAATTTTCTTACATTACAAATGCATTAAATGCCTACGTAGCAGAAAAACAAATGAAACTCGGAAATAAAAGACGATTAAAATCTTCTTTTTTTTAAGTTACATTATGCTGATATTGGTGGGCAGTGCCAGAAAATGTTGAAAATATTCGAACCTTTTTTGCTTTCTTCTAAATATGTCTACGTGTGTATAATACACAAAGCTTATTTTTAACTTTTCAGTAATGCACATATACTCACTCCTATATGCCCAAAGGTGTAAGCTAAGTCACATTAAATACCTACATTTTGCCAACTATAATTCTAACTACTAACTATAATTTCAATTAGTAATTTTAGTCTCTCCTCGTAATAGAGGGCATTGCCGTCAACCGAACATTAGGCATTAGATAAAAAAATTGCAAGCATATTGGAAAAGTCGATATGGCATGGCAGGTAAGGGACATTTCTTATAGATGGATTATGGCTGTTCAGAGTCGCATACCTGTATCTCGAATTGGGTATTGCCGAAAATTTGGAGTCCTCTAATCAAAATCCGAGCCCTGTTATGTACGTTATGTAATGTAGGTAATGCAGTCTAGTTTACATAAATATAAAAAAAATATTATAGTTTACTTTTACCGGTCAGTTCTTGATATGTCGCTGTTAGGTGTTTAGTGGATTGCATTTTTTTAAATAAAAATTCTAGAATTTATAAAAAACATGAAATAATTTGGTTAGTCAAGCTATATTAATGTGATATATTTCGGTGGTCGGATGACTGTTACAGGTATATATTAATACTTAAAGTGTAAATTAAATTACCTAATGTCAATGTATGATGTAAAACGGAAAGTTAAAACTTTATGAATTATGTTTGAAATACGACCAAAAGCAAATTCCTTGTTGGTAATACGTTTAATGTCTCAACACGCCCAACTAGCTACGGCCCTATAGTATATGTACCTAAATCGGTGTTACAGAACCCACAGTGTAAGTGTCTAAACACACTATGCGGAAGGTACGCGACCGAAGTGCCGTGTCTGATTTTACGTTCCGACTTATTCGGCTGCTCCCGCCCTGGATCACCCCCGGCAATTGAACCGAACTTCTGTCGCGTATAATGTGTTGCTATATAAAATACGTTGTCGCCGAACTTACGCCCGACCGAAGTTCGGCTGCACTCTATTACGCGACGTAATTTCGGCAAATGTGTCATAAGTAATTCAACTAGCATTGCAGGCGTAATCACACCGAACTTCTGTCGCGTAACTTCGGCATAGTGTGCTTAGATACTAAGATCTGGTCTCGATAACGATAAGCAATATGTCCCACAATTGTATTATTATTACATCCTACTATTTTATCATTACCAACATTAGTATCCATTATTAATCCTTTATCATCAAACATTTGGTCACCTTAAGCATTTAAAAATATAAATATATCTTATAGGAAAAATAACACAGCAAGAATGCAAAGATAAAACAGGTGGCAACACAAAAAAAAGATACATATAAGTCACACCGTATTATATTATAACTACTTAACGGCGACAAGGCAAGATAAAGGTAGGAAGCGCTTATTAAAAGAAAGATACAAGCTAATTGTAGCAGTTGTAAATTTTAGTTTATCTTTAAATTTTCAATTCGACATTTAAATATATGGTGTATGTGTACCAAGAAACGTCGAAATAACAAGACTGAAAGACGTGATAAAATATTCGTTATACTCATACACCAAGTAATATGTTACAATCAGGTTTTAAGATAGATTTGTCAACGATTGGTTGTAACTAAAAGTCTCAGAGAGTCTTCTCTGCCGGCACGGATGAGGTTGGTCCGGTTCTCATCTGTTGCTCAACTTGGTTGGCGACAATCAAAGACATACATGGCTATGTTGACCCGTGACCGTCGGGCGGTTAGCTGTGCCAGCGTGCTGTTGGCGGTGTCGTTTGCCATGGCCAACGCATTCAATAGTCTGCCATTCAGTTGTATCAGGAAAGCACTCCACTATCACAGGGTGCCAGAGTACCTGAGGCGTCTAGTGGCATACTATTTCGAGGAGGGTAACGTAACGGGTACGAGGACCGTGATGAATATCGGAGACGTCGGCTCATGACTTGCGTTGTTCCCCAGGGGTCTGTTCTTTGGCCCCTCGTGTGGAACATAGGGTACGACTGCGCTCTTCGAAGATACTTCTCCCCGGGCTAGGCGTAATACACCGTGATAAATTTTTAATACTGTATTAAGAAAATTAAGGACTGCAGAGTCCTTAATTTTCACTTCCAGGGGTGGCATTTTTCTTTAAAAATGAATGGTAACAAACGAGAATTATAAGTACCTTTCAAAGAATCGAGTAGAAGTGAAATAAACTCGCACTTGGCCCTCTTGACACTTGTGTTTTATGTATTATATTAAAATTAGAGGCATCTATCATAAAGGTCTTTCCAATCACATAATATTAAAAACCGGTGTTAAGCATTTCTTTTAGCAAGCAATTTCATTGTGAAGTTATCGGTATATTTAAACACAAGAAAGTAATAATAATAATATTTTATCGACTAAAATGGATGGATGTAGGTATGGATGGAATATATAAATGTAAACTGTTACCTATACATTTCTCGCCATTTGTTAACAACCTACCTAGTACCTAGTATCTTTTTATTCCGTCGTTTGAGTTTCAATACCCATTTGCAACAAAATAATAATAATTGTTGAATGTTAGTTTTAGGTAAAATTAAAAATTTAAGATTTAAATTATCCAGCACAAAACGTTGATAGACTAACATCAAAATACACAATATTCCGTTTGCCGGAATAACCGTGAAAGTTCAGCCAATAAAGTTACAACATAATGTTAAAAAGAAAAACTCACCCAGCTTACCTATAGTTAGTCCTTTTGGTGTAATCACTGCTTTTCGTTTTTCTTTTAACCTATCGACAATGATAGCAATATGTCCAAAATTAAAAAGCATGTTAAGCATAGCAACCAAAATACAGTAAGTGCTAAAAAATTTGCAGGTAATATTCATTTAGCAATTAAAAGCAAAAAAACGACCATTTAAATCACAACAAAACGTTATTTTTATCTACAAAATACGATTTTCTTAGGCAAAGGATTCTCTATTCGGCCTAGTCAATTACATACTTTGCATGTGATTGTAAAAATACTATATGAAAGTGATAACTTTAAATTTTAAGCAGGTATGTCACATGACACAGAAATTGAAATTAATTTGATAGTTAAAAGATAAACAGATTTTTACATTCAATGCTGTTGTTACTTTTTAACCATACGTTTTTTCTTTTCGTTTATTTTTGTAGAAAAAATTGTTGCCATGAATTCATATTTCATTTTCTCAAATGTAATAAAGTATGTGCCTGGAACGCGATACCTATTTTTCTTCAACACGAACTCTTCGCTTGAACTGTCAAAGTTGTCAAGTTGTCAATGACGAATCATGTGTTGGTTGGCAATTTTGTCAATACATACGTATTTATGAGAGCCTTTATGGTAAATTAACTTAAAAATATACCATAGTCTGTTGGTGATTCAACGATGCCTACAAGTGACAGTGAGGACTTTGAGAGTGCTGATGAAGGCCATGGCAGCCCAGTGAAAAAAGAAAGAAAGAAGAGACTGTCTTCCTCGAACTATAGTGACAACGCACTAGAAACAGATCAGAAATCCCATAATACTCAAAATCTTACTAATAGTTTAAACAAATCCGTTGAAAAGGTAATATACCATCGGTTTATGACAATTATTGCCTGCATTCTATTTTACGAATTTGTTGAAACATGAAATATTGTGTAATTTCCAAGTATCTTCAATTAATAAATATGTTACACATGTGTGTTACTAGTGTGTAATAGAATTTTTATATTTTTATTGCTCGTATAATATATACTTTGATTAAATGTCTGCACTAATGATGTAGTGGATTAAGTGGTCACCTGGCTGCTTCCTACAGCGTTGTGTTGTGGCTTCAATCCCCACATGAAATAAAACTTGTTGTGACCTACAAATTGTGGTTCTAAGTCTCTGTGTTCTTTGTATCCTTTTTCATATCTGTTTGTAAAGTCCTAGTGCTGATAATGTATACCTCATGCGGAGTTATCTTTTAGAAAAAAATAGATGATAACTATTAAAATAAAATAAACATTACAGTTATAGATTGAGATATTGAAAAGAAATAAATGTTCATTGTTCTGTCATTAATGTGGTTAAAACATAAAGTAAAACATATATGCAAATAATAAAAATGTAATGAATTTGTCAATGTAGAATTTTTATGTGAAGTTAAAATAGTAGTAATCATTGTAGCAAAATAAGATATGAATTAAACTAAATTGTTGTTATTTTTAGGAGGTAACGGATGGATGGGATGATTTTGAAATTGACGAAAATGAACCAGTGTCACTAAATGTCCCCCCTTCTGCAACCAAAGTAGAGAAAAAAGACACTAAACTGACAAATGAAGAGACTATGATAAAAGAGAGTAAAAAATCACAAGATACTGGGTGGGATGACTTTGATGACTGGGGAGATGATGAATATTGTTCAAATATACAAAAAGTAAGTATTTGTATATCTACTGTCAAAGTGTACCTACATGTGTATTTAATAAAAATCATTTGTTTCTCAAATTGGAAAAATAATAGAAACAATTGATTTGTCCAATTTATCAGCATCTATGCACTTCATCATCATCATCCTTTAATAGTCCACTGCTGGACATAGGCCTCTCCTTAGAAAGGAAGCTGTGTTAAGTTTTCCTTCTCTTAGGAAAGCTGTTGTACTGTGTAGTTTGCTCCCTTAGTCGGCTCTTACGACACCCATGTGATGAATAATTAAGTTAATTAAGAATACTGTATTCCTAATTCACCACATGGGCTATGCACTTAGAGTGCTAAAATATACATATAATAACAGTGTTAACCGAATCAAATATAAAGTATAGTAAATAATTATAAAATTTAAAGGTCTTTTTTTATGCTGTAAAAACATGTAATAAAAAACATGATGAGGTTACACAGAGAGAGGTGTAAGCTGTGTAAAATATTTTTATTGAATTAATTCTAATCACAATAATGAAATTCCTTTAATAAACTTTTCTAAATATAATCACTTAAATTGTTTGTACATTACAAACACTTCAATTTTATTTATTTATAAAGATTGGTAAGGATATTGAAGTATAGATGAGTTTTTCTTTTATTAACTTTTTTAATAATATTTATCTTTTATATAAAATTAAAATATAATGTAAATTGTTATTAAACTAGTAAACAAAAAACAAATAAACAGTGTTTAGAAATAAGGTAACATTATATTTTTGACTGGCCTGTCGGTCTAGTGGTTAGTGACCCTGACTGTTAAGCCGGAGGTTGTGGACTTGATTCCCATCCAGAAAAAATAGACGGTATCACAAGCACTGTGATTTGTTCTGTGTCTGGGTGTAATTTATCTTTAATATGTATTTATTTACAAATAAATAAGTATGTTAATTAGCAGCCTAAAAGCAAATCTAAGAGTACTTTATTTAATTAAAAAATAGAAACAAAATACCAATTTTAATAGCACAAGAAAACTGCAGTAATATCTTTTTAAATCTTATCAGAATACAATATCAAATATCTCCCTAGTTAAAGTTAAACTTTTCTTTGAATTATTTTCAGACAGAAGCACCAAAAACACAGAGTCATTCTTTACAACCAGATCCAGATATTAAAGCTGTCACAGATAGACTAGCAGCTGCATCCACCGGCGGCAGTAGTGCAGGTTGGGGCTGGGGATGGAGTGTCGACTCCCTATTAAGTACTGCTACAGCTGGTTTTACTAATATTACTAGCCAAGTTTCACAGGTATTCTCAGGTTTCTAATTTTTATTTGCACTCTTAGAAAAGTGTGTTACTGAATTTAGTATACTGTTTTTTTTTCATCATAGATTGCCTCGGTGGCGCAGTGGCAGCGTATGCGACTGCTGTTCTGAAGTCTCGGGTTCGATTCCCAGGTTGGACCAAATGTTTCTATGCTCTGCAAATATTTCTTTCAGAGTCTGGATGTTTTCTATGTATAATATATATTTATATTTACAAAAAAAAGTATTTAGGTATTCTATTTGTCAATTTAGCTTTTATAGTACAAGCTCTCTCTCTCAATTTTTTGGACGCACAAGATCGCGATAAAATTACAAGATTGCTTGAACAACACTCCAATGTCTATAATGACCTCATAGACGAATTGCAACAACGCTGGGACGAATCATCTAAGGGGCGCCACCTTTACCAGTTCTTACAATCTGTTCGCGAACGGTTGTCGAGGACATGGCTTGAGGTGGATCACTGTGTCGCTCAATTTCTTACGGGTCATGTTAACTTTAAGAGCAAACTGTATTCATTTAAATTAGTCGAGTCACCATTGGGCCCAACAATGCGCAACACCTAATTCTAACTGTGAACAATCTGTTCATCATATCCTCTGGGAATGTAGTCTTTGGTATAATGAAAGTAATAAAATGCTGAATAGCTTACATCTGTAATAATGGCTGTAGCTATATCTACGAGTTATTATAAACTTATACTATATTCTCTGGACTATAACAAAATTCATCCTTGTTTATACTGCCCTACTGCCATGTGTGTACTCTACAGTAAAATACTTCAGCTCTTTATATACATTATAAATGGCGCATTGATACATTCATGCACTAATGTCAGTATTCCTGAAGGAATATACAGAGGCATCTAATATTACATTTTTAATGATCACACTTTGTTGACTGTAATCACTGGTCTCACACATGTAATAGGGCCAAGTCTCATCATCAATCATTCGGGAGCTTATGGATTAAGGCTGGAGTATATTGAGGGAGAATACACAAATCAATTTGTGTGATCCAAAAATTGTTGTTCTGAGTGATGTTTTTTTGTGTTCGTTTCATGTATGTTTGTCAAGTCCCCATGACACAGGATAAAATATTCCTAGTGCGACAGTTGTCTGTCTGTCACTTTTGTATTCATACGTACATCTTTCAGGGCATTTCAACAGTACTGGAAACTAGTATAGGTGCACCAGACCCAGAGGAGTTAGCTAGAAGAAATATTAAAGAAAGAGAAGATGAGAGTAAAACCAGTAAAGAAGAGAGTTTAACCCCTAAAGAGGTACCTGAGAATGAGGAAAAGGACAATGGTGAAGCATTCCAGTTTGGAAGTCTGCTGTCAGGAGTAACGAAATTTGTAGAGACCACCAGTAAGTTTATGAAAATATCTACTGAAAAATTTCATAGATATTATTTATTTATTCATGCTTACATGTAAGGTAAGTAATGGATATTATAAAAAAAATATATGATAGAATCAAGCTGAATTACAATAAATATACTTATGTTAGTTTACACAATCATACCCATATAATCATACTTAATAGGGAGTGGTATTCTAATTACTGTATTCAGTTTGTCTTTGTTGTATTGATCTTGACTAACGCTTAGCATTCATTATAAATCTTCGTGGCTTAGGGAATGCTGTATACATAAAAAAAAAATTGTTTACACTGAATGAATAAAAAAAGTGTGTTTGTGCTATTCACACCCGGCAGAAGTAAAACTGTTTTTTTTTTATCGCAGACCCTATAAAATTTTGCCCGGCGCGAATCCACGGCAGCGTTTTTCAAATTCCACGCGAACGAAATAGTCACATTGTCAAAATATTATTTTAAAAATAATGTGCAATGTATTCTATCTCATTCTCTCGCCGACTCAATGCTATACATTTATTGTTTTGTTGATGTTTTTTGTTTCTTTATCGTGACACATTTTCGTTTCATCGAGTTTCACAACGGAATTAAAGAAGTTTCACTTAAAAAATTAAGAAATATTTGATTTTGTCTGGGAATAAACACACTATATTTTATAGTACATATAAATGGTAACATTGTTATGAGATTGTAAATGCTTCCATTTCTTTGATTTCTACTTAATTATAATAATTAATATACTGAATCTGGGACTGTCTTCTGTAAAAAATAAATGTGAGAAATTGCAAGTGCATTTGTGTTTTTTATATTTCTGAAGGCACTCTCCTGGATCTTAAACTAGTATTTTATAAGATATTCATATGCTATTGTTATTTGAAGTACAGTGAATATTAATAAACATATAAAATGGTTTTTATAGTACAAAACATTTATAACAATTAATTGATTGGCATCTATTTTGAAGAAAATACATACATACAGATAGTTCTTAAAATTTCTGTTATACCATAACAGTTAAGTATATTAACATAGTTTGACTTTTTGATTTCAGGTACGAAAGTAATATCTGGTGGTCTAGACACCTTAGAAACCATTGGAAAGAAAACCATGGCAGTCCTCGAAGACGGTGACCCTGGTCTCGCAAAGAAACGCGCGCTGTTGGGTCTTGGGACTGGAGACAAGCCTGTACTGTCTCAAGTGCTTAGGGAAGCGAAGGCTAAAGCTGACGAAGAAGATAAAATCAAAGAAGAGAAAAGAGAAGCGAAAGAGGTTCATTATGAGAATCTTTTCGATGATTTTGAAGGTATAGTAAATGTTAGGTATAAACAACTGCGTTGCATTAAATGCCTTTAAGATTTAACCAGAACATTGTTGCAACAGACAGTATAATTATAGTTTATAAAATGAATTGTTTTTTAATAAACAGGTCTCGTTCACCTAGAAGCTTTGGAAATGCTGTCAAAACAAGTGAGCATGCGCATAGAGGAGCGTTTGAGCGGGGTCGCCTCAGAAAAACGACAAGATATGAAGGAAACTTTACAACAAGTTGCCGGTAAGGATCAGATTCTTTAATTACTTATATTGTTTATCAGTTAAAATCAAGTGAAAATTAAAAGAGTGAGATGAAACTGCATGGATGGCGTAGTGGTTTAAGCAGACGCCATGCCGTTTCCTACTACGCTAAATGTTGTGGGTTCGATCACCACATGGGACGATACTTTGGGTGTCTACAAAATGTTGTTCTGAGTCTAGGTGTTCTTTGTGTCCGTTTCATGTATGTTCGTAAAGTCCCCCGGAATACAGGATATATTCTTAAAGCGGGAGTTGTCTTTAAAAAAAACAACAACATGAGAGAGACAAAGAGAGCACCCTTTTTTATAGTATCCGGGGTGAGACGTGCAGACGAGTCATCTGATGGTAAGTTATTACCTTCGCCCATGAACACTACAACTCAAAGGTCACAAGTGCTTTACCACCCTTTGAATCATCCCCCAAGAAGTAGAGGGAAGAGGGGTACGTCGGGGTGCCAGGCCTTTCCTTTCTAGGATGTACTCCGGCTCCGGTAAACTCTAAGTTCCGGTCGTGCTGGCTCATATGTGCAGAGACCTGGCTTATCCACTATAAGTATTCAAGGAAGAAAACCCTTTCCGCCTTAGTATTATAAAATTGATTTCTTTAAGATCGGTAAATGATAACGTAATAAATACTATAAAATGAATATCTGAGCTATTTATATGTTTTAAACTATCAAAAAAATTATCCACAGAATTATGTGAAATGCCTGAAGAAGATGACGATGATGAAGAACCTCCCAGCGAAGACATGAGTAAGCCTGATGTATTACATGAAAGACTCCAGACCGCTACGCAAGATCTCGGCCTTAAGTTACAGTTTCAGCCACTTGTTAAGTAAGTATACGACTACATTTGTAGAAAAGGACTGGCCCACACTCTTGCAGAGCCCGTCCTATATTAACCAGGCTGCCGGTAAGTTATTATCAGCAGTCTGGTCAGCTTAGCAGCACACTTAGATTATGGCGCCGCTTTAAAATTCTTTTATTAAAATTCTTTTGTTAACCGTTTTAGCTTGTTCTCATTCTTTAAGTGACATTAAACGACATTACAGTTTTATGTTGGTAGTTGTGGTCAATTATAGGCTACACAGCTACCAGCTCTGTTTTATATCAATGTTTATAAATTCTGTAATGTGGCAGAATAGAAATCGAAATTAATAGCAAAGAAAATGTCATCATGAATGACCTTATGTGGGTACATCTACACTTTCTGCCTTTAAAATATTTTTTTAATGCTGGTAACGCCATCCATGTCGTCGAACATGCAACTGGTCTACCGATGTTCCTTACTACTCCATCGATATTTAATCGAAACGTTCTTATGCCTCATTTGTACATTCAAACAAATGTCGTCAGTCCTCCTTACAATTTTAATGCCGACGCTAGAAACGTGGCATTAGCGAATAGAACAATGTGATCATTTTCCATTTTAAAGGTCCTCTGCCACTTTACAGATGTGTTTTGACTGTGACGTCATTTACCGAAGAAATCTGTAGTTGCAAGATTATTAAATTACCGTATTCAGAGGAGACTTCAAATTGTTTTTCGTTCCACAGGCAATATAAAGAAGTTTTAGATTACGTAACATCAGACTCCGAAGTCACCGTGAAGGCAATATACAAACGCGCGGTGTCCGGGCTCGCCCAAGCGACTGCGCTGTCAGTCGAGCAGTACCATAAGGCTGCTGAGATGTTACTTGTTAAGACCAGGAGGTCTACTGCTGATGAAGCGGATGCACTTACTCAGTGAGTATTCTTTTATTAGTGAAATGATATTTAAAGGACGATCAACTCATATGTTCTAAGTACTAAACCGATTCCAGTCCACGCTAAGGTTATATATATATAGTATACAATTGATGGGATACAAATATAATGCAATCATCAACCTCCTCACGACTCACGAGCATCTTCCAGTTTCATTTAACTATGATACAAGATGGGTCTTTAAGACATATCTAATTATAATTGTCTCAGTGTGGTGGTCTCTACCGGCCTTTCCACTAATTTGGACGGAGCTGCTGGTCTAGTAGTTAGTGACCTTGACTGTTAACCGGAGGTCGTGGGTTCGATTCGCCACCAGGACAAATATTGTTTGATGAGCACGATCTTTTGTTCTGTGTGTGGGTGTAATTTATCTAGGTATAATATAAATGTATTTAGAAATATTTAAATATGTTTATCAGTAGTCTGGTTACCATAGCACAGGATCTGCTTAGTTCGGAATCAGACAACCGTGTGTTTGATATGAAGCTAATATGATTTCCAATGCTTGTTTTGTTCTCCATGCCATACGAACACTATAAATACAGATTAAATAGTTAATTTAGGCTGGATATGACGGATGCCGGATATTGTTTCTCTTGCCACACGAAATACATACATCTGAAACCGAACTAACCGTAAAGTATACTGAGTATTGAAAAATATCTTATAAGTGAATATAAATGTTCCTGCCAATCGTTTAAAACTGCTTTTAATTGTAAAAATTTTGCTATTATTACAGGATGACGGTAGTGTTAACAAAGCATATCAGTGAGCTAGCGACACTATTCACGGAGAAGTTAAACTCACTACCAGCCGATAACAAGGCGCAGACCAACAACTACATCACTAATATATTTCTAGAGGTAAGATAGTGAGGTAAATGACTTAAGCCAAAGACGAGGTAAATTTTTGTAGGAAAGGTGGAATGTCGTATAACAATAGCGATATATGTGTGGCGACTCCCACATACAAAGAAACAGAAACATACTACAGCGCCATCTAATGAAGACACACCGAACTACGGAGTAACTACTAAATAAGAATTGCTAATCCTGTATCGCGATATGAAGAATTACTAGCTTCCGCCATCAGCCTCGCCCGCGTCGGTTTCAGTGACCATGATAATATTAAAGAGTGATTCATAACTACTTAGGATATTCTTAACTTACTGTATTTTACATTACTTTAATGTATCTCTGCTGGTTTACGTACGCGACTAAAGCTGCCAGTATGCAAGTTTTTTGGGACCTCTTCAACAATAACCGTTATATTTCAGTCAATTCACATAATAACATAATGTATTATACACCTAAACTTTCCTCAGGAATCACACTATCTATTGGTATACGTTCGGAAGTTTCACAGTTTATCCCGTTCATACAGACAGACAGACGCGGTCGGGGGAATTCATTTTATAAGATGTAAGGATTACTTTCTCTTGTTAGAGGAGGTACCCGTTAACGTTGTGCAGTCCGCTTAGTATAAACAATCATTTTCATAGAAACCAAAACTCGAAGTTTGCGGTTTGTAGCTAGCTCTAGAATTGTGTTTAAATATCATGCATGAACTGCAGCGCTGGAACTAAAGTGTAGGAGTGATGAAACCAAATCTCATTTAAACCTTATTATTTCACAATATGATTGGTTATTTAAAGAGCAAAGTCATTCTTTATGTAGTCTAACACAAAGTATGACAGTACTATATATAAAATGTTGAAAATGACAATTTTTTTGTGGTATTGTAAGTGGATCTGACTAGTTGGGAAACACTATAAATCTCTTTACAGGAATTGTAGAGTTGTCAAAGTTTTAGGAAAAGGATCCACATCTTTTATCTATACTTCCATACTTATATTTTAAATATGAAAGTGAGTTTGTTTGTTTGTTACGCTTTCGCGCTTAAACCACTTAACCGATTTCAGAGATTTTTACACCAATGGAAAGCTACATTATCATCAAACAACACAGGGTACTTTTTACCGCGAAAACTGACATTCGTACAGTCAGAGCGGGCAAATGCTAGTCTTTTAACAAAATTATTTCTCAAATACCTCCTAATATTATACTGTACGTGTTTTTTTTCTGTTTTCAGGCAGGCAACAGCTCGACATACATACAAAACGCATTCCAACTAGCCTTGCCAATATTGCAGATAGGCGCCGTTTAACTTACCATTATATCTTAATTTAATATTATGTGATATTTAATGTTAAAAATGTTGTTGCATATAAATGTATGGATGAAAGTTTAAAATCAATGTTTTGGAAATAGTAGATATTTTAATTGGACAGAGTTTAACTGATTACTGATTTAATTAGTTAGGTATATATCATGATGCCAGTACAATTTGACCAAAACATCAGGTACAAAAAGGCCTTGTGGTGTTTTATAAATGGGTGTGTATCGAATAGGGGTTTTGGGTCCTTTTTTTTTTGCGGATCCATAACTTCTGCAAAAAATATTTACTAAACCCAAAGAAGGGTTAGCGACGCATGGTCATAGGAACAAGTATAGACGTTGAAATTTTGGTAGCATTCGTAAGTCACAAAACTCCCCATGTATGAAGAAAGGATAGTTGTTATATGAAACAAATTGAATTGTGAATGAAAAAGTCGATCGCTATTTTAGTTGTAGCAACAATCTTTGATTAGTATCGTTCAGTTAGTCAATCTCACTCTAAAAAGGCCCACTGGTAACACCTTAAATCACTTTATGAATAAGTGCTATGTATCTCTTTTGAAACACGCCATACTCACATCATGTCGTACATGAACACTAAAAGTTAATATGGTACGTATACAAATCCACAGAGACACAATTTTTAATCGAAATATGTTATAAGTTTAAAATATATGCTATAGCAGCTACAAAAACTAACAGGCTACAAAAGTAAATGTTGTAAGTTATCTACAAATGTTATAAAGTAACTGGAAATGTTGATCCTCTGAAAAACCAAATCAATATTATTAAGCTCTACATTAAAATCATTTCAAATTTGATCAAAAATAATATAATAACCTTCTCTTTGGATCTTTACGTAAACTTTTAAATATACCATCCGTCACCGTCCACCACCATCCCCCATAAATTTTATTACATATTTTGATCAACTCAAAATTTGTTCATGGTGTCATTAAACTTTTAGGTTTTCAAGCGAATTTGTTCAGAAACTTTACTGACAACATACATGCTTGGCACTGTATGAAAATAATGTTATTATATATAACTTATTATATTTAAAAGTCTGCTACTGTTATACATATTAGACGTGTAAAATGGGATTTCATCGAACTATGATCGGTGCAAATCGTTTGTAAACTAAATCATCGTACCGTATAAGTCTATGTACAACGTGCTACATGTCTAATATGTAAATAATTCGTGTTTTAAAAAGTTATTTAATGTGAAAACTAATAAAAGAACTACACAAACAATAAATTTTAATAAATAAGAATAGGTATTTGAATCTTTACGATACGTTGATGTATCAACTGAATGTGTTCTGAAAAATCTTATCAAATAATTGTTTTTATATAAATGTGTGAATATGCCTAATATATTGTTCTATTATAACTCATTATGCATTTTAATATAGTCGAAATTTTCTATTAAAAATCTTGTTTTATTAAAAAAATGGTCTGAACCCGAACCCTAAAAGACTAGTAAAAAAAGAAGTACATTGTATCGAGAAGTTCTATCTAGAAGCTATTTTTTCCTCTAACCTAACAATGTTAGACAAATATAAATAGCTCAAGTGGAGACAATTGCAAAATATACTTATCGAGACTACCGTTGAACCAGTCGTTATGACAAATCCATATTTCAGATTTTTCTTTTTAAGTGGAAAAAGTTATCAAATACTTAGATACATACAGACATGAATTCATATTGAGAGAAATAATGTAGGGCAGGAAATAATATAAAAGATCGCGCTACGATCTTTCGGAGAGGAGCAGTGAAAAGCTGTTTGCTACTGTTCTGCTGACGCAGAGAAGATGAGAAAGCAGCAGTTATATACATAAAAAGAATTGATATGACCTTCAAGAAAAGGGTGTACTTCTTCCTCAAAGGCCGGCATCGCGTTTGTAATTCTCGAATTGCAGGCGTTCATAGTTGCGGTGTTCGTTTCTATTCTATAAAATATTTAGGTGAAAATCTTTCATTACGTTTTAGAACATCGTCAATGTCAGTTGCCTTAGTAATATAAAAAGAAACCATGCCCCCTTCACCTTAATTTTGGGGGTGTCCATAGTCACTTACCATCATGACCATGAACCATCTGCTCTTTTGCTCCTACTTTAAAAAACCTAGGATTAGTTAAAAAAAATGTAAGTTTTAATTATTTTGGACATACATAACACGCGCTAAAAAATTTCTTACACTAAAGTATTCAATGATTTTAAATATAGTAAAAAAGAAAAGGCAAAAAAGAACTGGAGGATTAAAAGATCTAGGGAAAAAAAATTAAGATTCTATAATATTTTTCGTCATTTACATCATTGCTCTTGATAGGACGATATCACAGCGCTGCAGGGTTGTGAAAGTCTGTCAAAGTGCCCTAGGATCAGTACAACTGATCGTGGGGTTCCTAGCAAGATGCAGAAATAAAAAAAAAGATTTTATGTACACAAATCTAGCATTTTCAAACCAACGACATCTCGACAAGTGCTCTAATAATGTTAAAAATTAATAGGTATTTGTACGAGAACATCAAAAGATTGAAAGTTAGAAATGGCGCGAATGGTGGCATATATTGGCCATTGTGCCACCACCTGTTACCTTTTGTAAAATACGACAGCTTAGTAATGACATGCCAGTCAATCATAACCATAAACGTCAATCATACTAAACATGGATAAAACGAATACTGAAATAGAAAAAGAAGGAGCACCCCAGGAAACCTAGATCCTACATAATTATAAGAGTATGATGAAACAGTTTTTATACAAAAGATTGGAAAGAAGAAATACGTCGTTATTTTTCGTATTTTCAAGGATTAAAAAAATATACTTAAATTATGACTATTTAAATAATCATATTATTGAAAATTATGAAATAAATCGCGTGTGTTTTGTAGTTACGTTGGTAAAAACCTATTATCCCATCAATAGATGTTAAACAACCGATTTAAAACGTTTTAAATTAAATGTTGCTATTTTAAACCCCTAATAAATCATTTTAAACGGTTGAAAACTCGCCTACAAAAAAAAGAACTGTGTTTTACACTTCATTATGGACAACTTTTGGTCACCTGACGTCATGTTTCGTTTTAACTAGTTTATAGAAAATCAATAGAAAGTACCTACCTTTACTTATTTATTACATAATATTATATTACACACACTAGATTAGAATACATTAATAACACAATGCCGTCCGTTTTACTTGCGCATGAAAGAGACAACGTTGTGTTCGAGGCCATCGCGAGTGACGACGTCAACGAGAGTGCGAGAGTGTGAGTTTGGTTTTAAACCGAATCAAGTTGATTATTTATATCGTTTGAAAACAATGCAAAAAATGTTTACCAACACAGAGTTTTTTAAGTTATCAATAGAGTTTTTATAATTTAGGTAGGTAATACGTACGCTTGGTCGGATGGACCAACTAGAACTTAACCCGCTAAGTATATCAATATCAGTATATCACACATATAAAAAATCTTTACAGTTTATAGGTACTCCGTCATATCCTCGGTAAAATCAAGAAAATGTAGTTATCATTAAGAAAAACATAGTCATCAACACCAACCGATTTAAATCTAAAAAAATGGTATCGGTTTTTTCGTTTTAAACGGATTTGTTTAATTGGTTTTAAGCCGGTCTTAAATCTATAGTCCCATCTCCTTAAAAAAGTGAAGAAAATAAGAATCTGATTCTGAAACTAACTTTTAAAAGGGAAATAAATAATGTTTACGTATTTTCTTTACGCAGAATGAGAGCACTGCAGAGAGAAGGAAAACTTGGCACAAACCCTATACCAACCCGTCTGGCCAGCGTGGTATAGTGGGCCAAAACCTCCTTTCTAAGGAGAGGCTTATGTCCAGCAGTGGACTAGTAAAAGCTGTTGATGTGATGTGATGATGATGATCTTCAATGGGAATAAAATTTGCGCACATCTTATTCTTTCTCAGAAATTATAACTTTAAAAATACGTATCCTATAGATGTAACAAGACTGTCAAAATCCGCCTTATTTAAACATGCAAATTGTAATTACTTGTATAAAAACAACATGGCAAGTAACAAACAATTTCATTTTTAATGAAAGTTGTATTTTTAATAAACATAATAAAAATTCTAGACAATTCATTATTCATCGCATCAAATCCACACTAGGCTTTCGTACGAGGGCCAGCCACCGGCCACAATGAACGGTGAATTAATCCCAACATCTGCCTTTCACACACAATGGAAGCAAGGGTTGCTCTTTACACTGCTTCGCGAATTCCTTACATCTCGCCGGAGCGTGCATGATTTATTATTAGAATTTATATTATTGTTATTGTTAAACGAATGATGAATATGTTTTAGATGAAACCCATTGTTAAATTCAATCAAATTTGATTACACCGTCGTTGTCGCAAATAACTTTAACTAAACTTGATCCTGAAGATCTTTTACAACTTATTAATGAAAATAAATCAGAGTAACTCTTACTGTTAGCCATTTTACAACAAAGATCGATAAATAAATATCAAATCAAAAAGATTCATGAACTGCAAAGTCGCAAACTGCCCTCAACTATCTAAGATGGTTAGAAAATTCCTAATAAGATTTAGGTAGTCTCTAAATAATGTTTAACTTGTTTCTATGTTATAACGGTTTAAGTGCCTTAAAATGGGTTTATAATTTAAAGCATATGCGTGTGTGTTAAGTAACTTTTTCTTTATTTTAATTCCACTAGTTTGAAAAACCTATATTTTTAACACTTTCCACAGTAGAGGTACGGATCACGCTTTCCTTTTTTTACACAAAACACACGGATATATAAAATTTGATAATGTTCATACAATAATTATATAATGTAATTGCATGCATCTATTTAACAAAACAGTGTAGTGAAGAAAGTGTCAAAGTTAGTTAATACTTTTTGTGGCGCTATTTTTTTCATCGCAATTTGTGTAACTACAAGCAAAGTTACAATACTTCTTTGTGCTCCAGAAAAGTAA